CAGGTTGGAGAATGTTTAACAGCTTAACAACAGTGAACAACAGCTCAAGCTGTTATGCAAATCTGAGCATGTGCTATTTCTGAAGGCTTATAACTTGGTTAAGAGTTGGGTGAATTTTCACAAGAAAGGTAAAAGGCATGCCCCTGATAAAAGGGTTGTCTCTGGTAATTTTCAAGTTCCCAATCCAAAGCCCAGGAGATCGCAGCATTTTGAAGAAGAAGCTATCAAAAATTAACACAAACAAAAACCATTTCTAAGCCACCCAACTTTCTTTGAAATGGATTGACTCTTTTTGACTGAAAATTTCCAGCGAATTCAGCTAAGTAGACTCTACACCAAAAGTTTCAGACAAAGGATTAAAAATTGGCAAAAAAACTGGATTACAGACTTGTTTCAACAGAACCGGGCTGAAAGGCATTAATTAAAAGGGGCAGTGAAATTAAGTTTACATAGCTACACTCTGAGCTGCAACTACTGAGCAATTACAAAGCACTTAAGTTTCAAGGACAGTAAGTCAGGCATCTTTCGTGAGCAGTTTTATCAAAACACAGAAGTATCATGGAAAATACAAATGAAACAATAACACCTATCATATACCACATGACTTAGGGCAATATTAACAATTGCCATACAATTAAGTGAAATAGGCTATTAATATACTGAAGAATACAGATCGGTTTTCTATTATTTATACAGGATGTTACAAGATATTTACCTTAGCATGCACATACCTGTGACATTTTAATATTCAATTGTGATGAATAAATACTATTGAACTATAAATCTACCAAATATAATAAAGATTAGGAATGTCAAACTCACATGGCCTGGCAGACCAAATGAGTAACGCAGGGCCAGTCCATGGGCTGGATCCAGAACATAGTTTTGAGCTGGCCCACATGGATGGAAATTTGGCAACAGTGTTCGTCGTCATGGCTCCTGGAGCCCAGATAGCCACCATTCCTCCTATCACCAAGTCTCCAGCCCCATGAGCAGCCCCACACCGAGGATAATATAAAACTGCACTTTAGATAGTGCCTACTGGGCTCCTGATATGGCTGGAAATTTGGCAGCTAAATGATAAACAGACACATCAACTGCCACAGCTTCCAGAGTCCTGGTAGCCCCCAATTCTCCTGTTACCATATTTCCACCTACATGGGCCAGGTGCCCCTGGTGTATACCAATTATTAAAATGATACTAGTAAAATAATTAATTATAGATTTAAGCAGAAATTGGTATTTTCTGAGTCTAGATGATATAAAGGAGTGATAAATCTAGTTGAAGTCATCTGAGAGGGTGTCATTCTAAAGTTGTAGCAAACATAGTACATTGACCATACAGCCTGATTTCTATAAAATACAAACGTAAGAGCTGTTATTTTGGGGGCTGCTTCCCCCTAATCAAAGTGACACAATTAACAAATTTGTAACTGCATGCAACAGTTGAAACTTCTTGTTCAGTTACAGCACTGAATATACAACTCATTTTTATTTTGTTTTGCTACTCTATCCATATTGCTTTTAAAGTACTTACAGAAATACTTCCCTTCCAGTGCTACAAAACAGTCATCTCCCTCCTACATTTGAAGACTAGCAAAATTTTTGAAACAATGTATTACAAACTGAAATAAACAAAGCATCTGAAATAAAGGGGAAAAACCATCTTTCTTCATTGCTGTGCTTCTACTAAATAGTATATTTGATAGAGGAAAAAGTAGTATCCCCACCTACAATCAACTACTTGTTATGAAATTTAGGAAATATTGCTATGATGTCCCAAACATCTCAAAATTTTGTTTTAAGGAGCAAATCAAGCCAAATTTTTTGCATTTCTCTCTGTACGAAAAAGTTAAAAAAAACACGCCAAAAAACCAACAGCAGCACCTGTAAAAGGAATCTATGTAGCACAGTAAGATGTACGGTATTTATCACAGCTACAAACACGGGTACTAACAATGGAATTCCAACTGATCAAATTCTATGCAATGCCCACAATTTATTACCTTGCATATACAATTCCTGTCTTGCCAGGTGAACAGTATGCCACATATACTCACCTGAAGAATTCAAAAATTAAACCGAATTATAAATTGACTGGTCAGAGAACTAGCTTAGTCTGAGATGTTTTTCAAACAAAGACTCCTCTAAGGCTTTCATAAATACTTCTCTGAACTGAAAAATTCTTATAAGAATAATTAACAACGTTTGTTATTTTTTATAATCTAGTGACATTATTCATTTAGCAACCGAAGCATGAAAGAAAGAAGGTGAGCAAGGGCATGCTTAAAAGTTCAATATGGGTGAAGGAATCCCATATTTGTCCAAGACATCTTGAAGTCCACCATTTGAAAAATGTTTGAAAATTCCTGAACAGCATAGAATAATCCTGTTTTTACTGCTTTTCCTGACCAGCAAACTTAGCAGCAGAATTTTCACACTCTGTTAGACAAATATTATGGTACAGGTAAGGTTGTAATACAAAGAACTGCAAGACTAAAGAATTTTGTGAAAAAAGAATAAGCGAGATCTTTGCAAACGTTTCTCTCGCATTTTAGCCAGAGAAATAATTAAAACTGACAAGACCATAATTTGTTTCTAACTCCTGACCCCACTGGGGTCAGGATACCAGAGAAAGGAGGGGGACAACAGAAGAATGAAGAAGCAAGGAAATAAATAAATAAATGGATAGGGAGAATGATGGTGGCTACAAAGATAGTCTGTGGAAAGAGGTAAGGCTTTTGTTTCTCATGAAAGCAGACCCTATGAGGGGATAAACTCTTGAACTCCTAGGTCAAAAACATCTTTTTACATCTTTCATGAAGTGCTGGGTGAAGAAAAACAGCTGACTGGGTAAGAAAGGTCAATACAAATACAGAACGAGTATAAAAAGGGAAAATAGATCCAAGACAGTGTAAGAAAGAAAGTGCTCTCAAAAGACCAAGTTAAAAATGAGAAAAAGGAAAGAAACATAGAAAAACAAAGGAAGGAATAAGGTAGAAGTGGAAAAAAAGTAGAGATGCGTTGATAAAAGATTTTCTTGGCTGATACAGATAGAGGATTATTTAACCAGCCATATTGGCCAATACTGATCCGATGACTGATTTACAGGAACGAAGCCAGGCAGGGTGGAGAGCAGCACCCTGCAGGTATGTCTGTGGAGGGGAAGGGGCATGGGGGAGAGAGGGGGTGTAGGGAGGGCAGATCGAGGCCCCCACAGTGAGGGAGGGAGGGAGGCAGGTGGCACTGAGCAGCCAGAGAGGTGAATGGGATCCAGGGCTGAAACAGGGAACAGGATGAAGCTATGGGAAGCTCGTCCAGAGGATCAGCATCCTGGCACTTAAAAAATGGTGGCGGGGGCATTTGAACTAAATCTTGCCTAATGAGCTTTAGTTCAAGCACCCTTGCCACTACTTTAAAGTGCCGGGACACTTAACTGGAGTGAAGCCAAGCAGGACAAGGGTAGATGCAGGCTGCCCAATGTGGGCTCAGGGCTCTCTGCCCTGCTGCCTTTGCCCCAGAGGCTCTGCATCAGCTGTGCATCCCCTGCCCAACTAGCAGCAGGAAGCACAACTTGCTGCCCCACTGCTTCCAGGCAGACAAGGGACACATGGCCAACACAGATCCCCTGGGGCAAAGGCAGCAAAGTGGAGAGCCCCAAGCCCACCCACATCCACCCTGCGCACAAATCTCGGGGAGATGGGGAGGAACATGCCCTCCCCACATGCCTCCCCCAGGGGGAAGATGCAGCAGCGGGGAGCTACCCCCCACCCCCAAGCCCCTGGACGAGCCTCTCGCAGCTCCATCCTGCTCCCTGCCCCTGGTCCTATTCACCACCCTGGCTGGGCAGCACCCCCAGACCCTACTGCACTCCCTCCCTCACTGTGGGGGCCTCTATCTGCCCTCCCCCATGCCCCTTCCCTTCCACAGACTTACCTGCAGGGCGCTGCTCTCTACACTGCCCAGCTGCATCCCTGGCCATATGCATGTGTGCAAAGGCATGCAATATCCAGGGGCCCCAGCCAGATGGCGTATTATATTTAATCAGTGACATTATCAGCTACCCCAGACAAAAAAAGCCTACAGCCGATAATGTTAATTTTTCTTTTACTGGTACCAATCTAATATGGCACTGATATAATCAGTGCACGTCTAGAAAAAGATGCATTTAATACCGAGGAACTTTGAGAAAGACAGAAAACCTGACTTCCAAATGTTGCAGGAGAACTCAAATAACTTGCATGAAAGCTACAAAATTTCTATCCATTTGAACAAGTGGAAAGAATTATAAAAACCTAGCAACTGAACTCCAAACACAGAGATTCACCTAAAAGTTCTGGCAATAGGGTATTTTATGCCTAATGCTCCAGGAATCAGTTTGCTCTCATATCCAGAACTGATAGTAAAGTTCACTGCACCTAAAGCATAAATTTGTCCAAAAGGTAATCACTTGATAAACTATATATGAAAATGAAAGAGCCTCAAGCAACAAGTCAGCTAATAAACTTGTCAGGAGAAGAACACCTTCATTAAATTAATGAAATAATTTAATGCATCTAAGCCAGTGGTTTTCTACTCCTTCGACTCAAGACACTTCTTGGAAAATGCCAGCTCTTAAAAGTTTTTATTTTTAATAACTGAACAATTCTTCTCTTGCAAAAAAACCTCAGAAAGACCATAAAAAGCCAGAATGTTTTCACTACAGACCCCCAACTGAAATCTCTGCATTCATCTTTTAGATCATGTGTGGTGTTCGCATGCCTAACAGTGCTAATACTGAACAGCACCCTTAAAAGGATTTTATGGCATCCCAGGGTGCTGCAGCACCATAGTTAAGAACCACTGGTCCAAGTTAAAATATACTCTTCCAATATTGTTAAAATTACATTCTTTAGATCGCATTTTTCGTGTGAACCGTAACTGCATGCAATACGCCTTTGGCTGAGCATGTATGTACCTGGAACATTTTGAAAAAAGTATATCAACTTTAAAATACTTACAGTACACTCTTGCATTTCCTGTTCTTTAGTTGCCAGCCTCATCACCAGAATATTTTCCCTTCGGGCTGATTCTTGCTGTTGCTGTTTCAACTTCTCTTCAGACTCTCTCAATCCAGTCACATCGTTAGCTAATGTGAGTGTTAAAAGAAAGTAAGCCAAGATTTGTAGTTCCCTTTCAAGAGCACTTTCAAAACAGCAAGGGTTTTACAAAGCATCGACTGCCTACCTTACCTACTTCAAAACCAAGGGGGAAAAAAAAAAAAAAGAGGAAACATTTAAGGTCACAGCATCAGGATCTTTTTGATATTAGAGACACTATAGCAAGTTTTAAATTTGTGTCATCAGTTCCCCAGGTAAGATCATTTCAGCTAAACTTTTGTTGAAATGTTGAGCACTCATTATCTACAGTCTCATCTGTTAAAGCATCATTGTAAACAAACTATTTTTCTTCTCCATAATTCATATGCTGCCAATAGCACGGATGTTAATATAGTATGACCAGGGGGGAAATTGGCAACTGAGGAATAAGCATTAGTACTATTCAATTTCTAAACAGCACTGCTGTAGACAGTACTCAAACTGGAACATCAAAACACCATGGCCATAACCCAAGACATAAGGCAACTTGAGAAATGGGAGTTCAACTGCATTTAGAAGCTTCATTCCAATGTACAGGCCCACACCACAATACCTTAGACCATGTAGACAAAACAAGGGGCATGTGTGCACTACACTTTAAAGTGGGTTAAATGTTTTTCCAATGCTTCAATGGTGTTGGTGTTTGCATGTGTTGGGAGGCATATTGCACAGTAATTCCAGCTGCCAAAGCAAACTCCTTGGAGGCGTTTTAGTTTGATGCACCCCTAGCCGTGGAGCAAAGCGCTGGGCTCCATGCAGCTCAGGGGCTCTGCAGGAAGCTTGTGCAGGCAGCCTGGCAGCAGCCTGGGAAGGTAGGCTTTGCCCAAGAAAAATGGTGAGCCTGATTTTTTTTTTTTTTTTTCTTTGCGACCCCCCCCGCCCCCCCCCCCCCCCCCCCCCCACTGGAACCTGCCTGCTTGCCTGAGCTGCACTGGAGCCCGATGCTTCACTCCACAGCTACAGTGCCCCATGGGACCACCTGAGCTGGGTGCCTACAGGTAAGTGCTGCCACTGCTGGAGGGAAGCACCACCCCCCCGCCTGCAGCCCAGGGACTGCTCTGCCTGCTGGCAGCTCGCCCTCCCCTCCCTGCTGCCAGAGAGGCAGGGAAGTTCAGGTGTGTGCACAACACATGGGTTTAAAGGGCCCTAAATTGAAGCGGTGTTTTTAAAAACCCACCACTTCAATTTAGAGCCCCCGTTTCATCTATACACGCCCTTATACAATTGCTCTGATGTGTCAGATATGCATCTTGCTTCTAGGGAGCAATAACGGAACTTTTGCAAATGATTTCACTAACAACAGATACAGACATCAGATAGAGCAAATAGAGGAGCATATATTTTTAGTATTTATCCTCTAAAATGAGCAGGAATTGAAACTGATTTAAATAAGGTTATTATAACTATGTGAATATTGGTTTCTGTTAATACAAATTAAAGAAAAACTTAAAAAACAACCTGTTCTGGGGACAAGGATTTCTAAAAAAAAATAGTGCACTGTATATGCATTATATGCAGCAGTTTTAGTTACTGATCACTAGTGCGCATGTGAAATGACAGAAGCATTTTACAGTAAAAATTTCTGTGGTGTTAGGATGGTCTTATTTACAAAGCAAAACTGGAGTGAGTGAACTGTTTTACCTTTGGTCAAAACACCAATAAGCATCAAGTCATTCAGATTTTTTGTTTTTTAAAAGAGAAAAAGCCATTCTGAAGAGTCAATGACAGCAGCAAAAACATTTGAGATTACTAAGTGGAGAGGAGCAGTAAAACACAGCTTCCCAAATTAAGGAGTCGTGGCAAACTCAGTTACTACAGATGGTATCTAACTGCAAAGGGGGGTTGCAAACCAACCAAAAATTGGGTTGCAACACAACAGAAACTAAGAACTACTGGACACAAAGAAGAGAGGCTCTTCTCCTACCTGTGAAGCCAATTAATGAAACAATCATATCTGGTAGCTCAGCACTTTCTAAAATGTGTTCAACTTTCCCCATTAAGAGTAGGGCTGAAGTTTCCTCTCAACTTCTCTTTAAAAAAAGGATAAATGAAGCTACGAACAGATACACATTTGAAGCTCTTCAGTGCTATACAGCAGATTCTTTGCATGCCTTTCAAGCTCCAGTGACTGTAGAGGATGGCCAAGTGAACAGCAGAGAGTGATCAGCACGTGTGACCCTGCTCTACACCCTTGCTGAGGGGCACAGCATGTGGGAAGGTAGGGGGAAGACAGCACTGTGGGATACCAGAGAACCAAGCAGCCCCTTCTTCCATCACACTTCATAGAGGATATAGAGGTTTTAGGAAGCCTTTCAAAAGAAAACGCTCCAAAGATGTTCCTTATTTATTGAGAATCATTTTTTAAATGCTTCTTTGGCTATGAACGTTATGCTTACTGTGTGGAATGCTTCAAATGTAACATCTGTCCAGATTAGAGAACTCGAACTACAGGCCTCCATAGTTGAATATATTAATAGAGTATGTTTAAATTAAATACACAATTAGAATAAAATTATTTAGTAATATATTTGGAACTTCTTGGCTGCGTCCAGGTGAGCGCGGACGTGCGGTATATAGTAGAGGTGCACCGATACATCGGTCCGTATCATAATTAGCACCAATAAAAGGAAAACAGACATTATCAGCAATTGGCTTTTTTTGGCTGACATGGCCAATAACGTCACTGATGAATGCTGCACGCATATGCACAGCTGCAACATGCACGCTGCCAGCGTGGCAGCTTGAAGAACAGCATCCAGCTAGTAAGTCTGCATGGAGGGGGCAGATTAAGGCCCCCATGGTCAGGGAGGGAGTGGGGCTGAGGCAGGCACTGCCCAGCTGAGGCGAGCTGTGGGACAGCTGCAGCTCTGGGGGGTGGGGGGCATCTCCGCAGAGAGGGGGCGGTTCCCGCCACTACGCACACCCCCAGGGGAGGCATGGGTGCATGTGCCCCCCAGATCTGTGCATGGGGCAAGGGCGGGCTGCTGCTGCAGGCTGAAGCCAGGGACAGTGCTGTGCTCTTCCTGGCAGGGGGTTTGGGCTGGGGCTGCCCAAGTCTGGGTTCCTTTTAAGATTCTGGAAGTTTGCACAAGTTATTAATTTTCAACCTGCCAAGACAAACAAAAATAAAAACTAATGGAATATCTTCAGTATGAAGAAGGGTGGCTGAAGGTACTTGGAAGAGCTAAAATCTACATTAAGGAGGATGCAGATTTTCCATGTTTTATACTTCACAAATATTGTGACCAGTGACCAGCCAGGCAACCTATGTTGACTGATGATCCCCCACTACTACTATTTTTACAAGGCACAGAAGTTACTTGAGGCTCTGTATTTAAGTTAACATTTATGTAGCATTTTATCACTTCAAAATGAAACAGGACTAACTTACAGTTGAGATCCGTATATTTGCTCTCCAGAGCTTGTACGTATGCTTCATATTGCTTCCACCTATTATAGGAGAGGAAAAGAAAAAACAAAAAATTTCTGAAACAGTTTGCTAAATCAAAAGTGGGTAAGTACTCAGACTACACATGTGTACCATAACTAAAAAAAGAAGTCAGGAGGAAAATATGCAACTATACCTTGTTTATAGGTTAAAAATAAGGAAGTTACTTTTAGCCAGGAAAAAGGTTTAAAACTCTCAGCTCAAAAGAAAAACTTTCAGCTTTTAGAAAGACACTAAACAAAAATTACAAAGAAGCCAAGAGGAACTGTTTGTGTTACCATGGACAAGTGCACAAACCCTTCATCATTTAATTATAAATGCAGGGAATATTTTATTTAAATATACGGTCCCTCAAAACAATCAAAACATTAAGTTCAGTAACACTAAGAGGATATGAAAAGTACAAAGACAAACAGCAGATGGTATGTCAAGATATTATTCATTACAAAGGAATTAGCATGCAATGAGGTTAAGAAACCACCAAGCTATTGAAACAGCTCAAAATTAATAATGTCTAAAGTTAACGAGCCAAATTTGACTAGTTTAGGCCAAAATAGTCATTGTGACTATTAATGTTAGCCATCTTTACCATAGCCAGGGACAACCCATGCAAATAATCCATGAATTCAGGGAGACGCACACTAGATTAGACTTCTGATGAAAGCCACCAACCAAACACCAAAGTTTACAATAATAAAACTCTGGTCAGGTCAGAATCTTGGCCAAATTCTTAAGATGGGTGCCAGAAACTAGACTTCTGGATCCATAAAGGCACTCTGCTGCCAACTGAGATCCTGCCCTATGAAGAACTATTAAAATCTTGTCTTATTTAGCTTGGCAAAACAAGCGTTGAGAGAGAATGATCCCTCTATAAAAAGCTCAAAGGAGTAAACACCAGAGATAGAAAGAACTATTTAAACTGACATTGTTATAAGAACAAAAGAGTATAAAAGCTGGCCACTAATAAGTTTAGGCAGGAAATTGGAAGCTTTTAACTTTTAGAGGAACAAGGTTCTGGAATAACCTTCCAGGAATACTGGAGATAAACAACTTAATTATAAAATCTGATAAATTTATGAAAGTTTTTATATCGGGGATAGGCAACCGCTGGCATGGGTGCCAGAGTGTGGAACCTGAAGACATTTTGCTTGGCACACATGCCTTTGGCAGGGAAGGGGCTGGGGCTACATGGTCACAACAAGGATTAGGCCCTTCGTGGCTCCCTCACCATCCGACCCAGGCATGCCAACATGTTACAAGTTGAAGTTACAGATGTTTTTGGCACTCTACGCAAAAATGTTGCAGACCCCTGTATTATAGGATGCTACTGCCTGCAAGAGCATGGAACCAGACACAATAAACAAGGAGCCCACTTTCAAACCTATGTAATTAACTGAATGGGTGCCTTAAAGAGGTCTTATACAAAATAGCAAAGTCCAACAAAAGAGAATAGTTGACAATTATGAAAATCAGCAGTTTCAAACTTCTTCACACAAATCAACAAAATCCTTGCAGCTTCTCCTTGCTTATAAATATGCAAAGTGCTTTCCCTTTTGCCATGAAGTCTGAAAAAATAATGCACTTTGAGGTAAAATTATAAAAATTCAGTTGAAAGAGAGGGAGTGATCCATCTCCAAATAAAAATTTTAGTATGTCTGAGATCACTTCACTTATCTCCTACAAAAAGCCCCCAAGAAACCTAGGTATTGGTAAGCCATGCTCTTACACTGAAAGAGTTCTTTGTTGAAGACCTGCTTCAATAGAAATCCCAAGTTTGACTCAAGCCAGGTAGGTATCAGTTAAGATTTGAATTACTTTATATACCAATTCTACGAAAACAACACATCATATCCATTCTTGATCTTATCTAAATCAGGAAGTTTTCTTTAGGTCTCAAATCCAATGCCCCCCCCCCAAATCTTAAACATGTACAGTTAAAGGACTGTGAATACTGAACATACCCTAACCTCAGGTATTAAAAAAGGCTCCAAAATATTTCAGCCAGTTCCTTGCAAGAGATTACCTTAAAATCTAAATTTAAATATAAACAATTAGTTTTCATTTCATCCCTTTATTTAAACACTGTTCCACTGCACTATATACACCTTCAGACAAAAAACAAGATAGATAAGAGAGTATCTACAGAATAGACAAATCACCTTAATATTCAAGTTTTATGGCACACAAGGAAGCACCTTTATCTACTATTCAGAACTGTAGGGACTTTATATCAGCTCCATTCGAGATTCAGGAGATCTGAGCACAGGATGCTTACTGAAATTGACACTGAATGCTATTTAAAACAAAAACTTATCGTTCCCCAAATTTGCATTACGTAAGCACAAAACTAGACCACAGTGGTTCTCTCAATCCCAAATTAAGTTCAATGAATTCTAGAAAAAACTCTCCAGTAGACATGTCGTCCCGGCCAAGACTATCAACTTTTCCTATCGTCTTGGAAATAATCTACCAGAACGTCTTGAAGTTTGGAAAACAAACCACCAGATTGTGACTGCAAAGAGAAAAAACCCTTATACACACACAGATGACAAAACCACCTTCACATGTTACTGGGCAAGCTGGATAAGGGAGCATTTTTACTGAGGAGAGAAAGAAACTAGTCAGAGTGTTCTAGAGCCTTTGGGATGCCTGGAGTTAAAACATTCCTAAATCAGGAAGAACCCTACTATACAGCCAATCTTCAGTACCTCTGAAGGTCGAAACTCAAAAGCTAAGGAACACAACATCCAAGAATAAAAACCCTTCGCTGAGAACATGTCACTTTTCAGATTTTGCATGAAAACAATAATCCTTCCCTGCAACAGCCTCTATTCTCTTTTCCAGGTAGAACCTGTCTGCAGCAGAAGCTGCAGTAAGATGTTATTTTCCGCCAAGACAAAAGTCACTGAGACAGAACAGCACCATTACAAGGTGACAAAAGCCCTTCCAAGAAAATTCCCCACTATAAAGTCTAGGATGGCGACCACATGCAGCCTGCCATGATAATCTAGGAGGCATGTCACAACTCATTATTCAAGTAATTCATTAAAATGAGAAAGGACTCGAAAAGTAAAGCGAGTCCTGTGCCCTTACTGTACAGTACCTGGCTAACCTGCACAAGCACCTGCGTGTGCTATCCATTTCCCACTTCCAAACAAAGAAAGCTTACATCTCATCAGAGCAGATCCCATGAGGGGCAACTCTCCATTGAAAGTGTTCCCTAAAGGTGACCTTCAACAAAGTTCGAGTTGTGCACTGCTAGGCTACCGAGATTAGCACCCACAAGAAAAACAGCTTGAAGTGCAGATTTACTCAAAATGTTATAAATGTAAAGAGCCAGATTTCCTAATTTACTTAGATGTATCTGCTTGTTTTGTGCGACATAAATGCTATTTTTTTACCACTATAAATACAGCAAAAAGCTAGGAAAAAAAGGGAGATTTGTTTAATTTCTTGTTCTGCATAAAGCGCTGTATTTAACTTGAATATAAGATGACCTGGTATAGAAGACAACTGCCCAGTAATTAAGATTCTATATATGGAAAATGTATAAGTTTGTTATAATTCTCCAGGTATAGAATCTAATTAGAGGTTTGCCTTGATTTGCCACATCCCCCTGTCCCCCTCAGCAGGGAAAATAAATCTGGGAGTCAGATAACACTTTACCCTTTGCTGCCTCCTGCAGTCCCTGCCCCGCCCCTTACAGTCAGATCCTGTTCTCCCTGTGCACAAAGAAGTGAAGCAAATTTGAGAGCACTGACTTTGAAATAAACATAATTTACCATATAGGCAAATTAATGCAAGTACCCATAGACTCAGAATTGATGCATTTGACCTTTCTTGAAATTGCTTCAAGTTGTAGCACAGGTACTCCATAAACACACTTTTAAACAGCACTTTTGTACCTACTTATACATCATGCATTGTTTATTTATATAATAATATCATCATTATTATTATTAAATTATAAACAATGCATGATATTAGTCTAAAGCCAAAAGGCTCATGATTTACCATATAAGCTCACTGGGCTGGACCCTAGCAGTCAACAGCATTTCAAACCGTGGTGATCCCAAAGCCCAGCACTGCTCAGTATGTACATGTACTCCAGATACCCACTTCAAAGGATCTATTTGTTAGCTACCATCCCACCTCTCCCTCCACCATGACTGGAACCAGGTGTTCTTATCAGGAGTCCTGGGATCCTCTAAAACTTTATATGCAGATGAGGTGAAAGCCAACCTGGTCCAGCTCCATCTAGTGGAGGGAGGGACCACACTAATCATATGCAACAGGCTGAGAAAAGGCACAACAGAGGGATTCTGAGTAAACTGTTTGGGGCCCTGCTTCATGATGTCTGCCAGACATTCAAGGCAGGTGAAGAAACAGGAATCATTGGAAATGGGGAAGTAAGGCCCAGCTCAGCTATGGGAGTGAAGAAGTAAAAACGTATTCAAAGTAGTAGCTAACCATGACTTGAAAGAGTTAGTACTGAGAGGGATTGCATGCAACAGGCACTACCAATTCAGATGAACTGCACTAACCTATCCTTGTGGTAAGTTCTATGCTTATCACCATGTGGGTCTTGTGTTTTATAGTCATGCTCAGTGTTGGCTGTATGTAATCAATGTCATAGCTGGCTTCTATTTCTGAGCACATGCTGCTTTTGGCAGAAGTTTAATAATAGATAATGTATTTAATGACGTTTCCTTGTATGCAAACAAAACAAGACAAGGGGCTCCCCTCCATGCTGATTGGGAGAAAAATCTCATTTTATAGTCTAGTAGTGTCTATTAGGAGGCTTGCATAGTATTCCTTATTTGATCTGGCTTTTCTTATGCTTTTTTATTTAAAACTGAAGTGCCTTCTAGTATCAGTATCTTCCTCTCTGCATAGAAACAGTCTTTAAATCAAGACTGGATAGCCTTTTAGAGGTTTACTCATACAAATTAGGATAAATTATAGTTGTAACCGAGTGAAATTCTATGGCTGTGCTGTACAG